GTGTTAGTATTCAACTCAATGTGGCTGAGTTGAGTACAAGGCACTGTGGGATCAATAAATGGCAGATACTAAAAATAGTAATAGTAAAGATAATTCTCTAAGCTATGACTGCGTTTCCATCTTCTTACCTCTCTGGTTTATTCACAATGACACCTCTGAAATATCGTTGAGCTCATAAAGGAATGTGTTTCTGCATGATTTGGGAAGCAGATTAAAGTTTTACTTGTATTTGCTTTGAACCTTCAAAAAAAAAAAAAAAAACACCCTTTAACCTTATACCTTTTTAATCTTTGTCACTTAAACTAGAGTAGCAGTACCATGGTTACTTATGAGTTTAAAATCCACTGCAAACTTTCTCCAGAAACTCACACCACCCATAGTGACACAGCATGTTAATAAGCAAGCTGGTGGCACACTGAAGTCTTTCATCCAGTGCCAGGCTCAGGGCGTACCCCTCCTACCCTTCTCTGACTCACCTACTCCCACCCAAAGAGAGCTAACAGACGTTCTGTGTCCTACTTCCCATCACCCTTCAACACAAGCTGAGACCCTTCAGCAACCCCCAAGCTGCTCTGGCACTTTGCATCAGGATACACAATCACCTGCTGCAGCACCCCACACTCTATGAGGACAGAAATGCACCGTCTCACAGAGCAAACAAAGCCAGTCTGTGAAGAGAAGCAGCTGAACTGTTTCCTGTATCTGTTCAAAGTTTTGGATTTCTCAGACAGTCGTGTCAACCCTGAAAAAAAAAAAAAAAAAAACTAAACTGATTCTTATCCCTGCACAATGACACCCTACTGTACGACTTACAGGGAATATACTTGAGGGATCGGAAAACTTTGCGTTGCGGCGTCACCCTCTTGATGTAAGGGTGATCCTCTAAGGTCAGCAGGCTGCTGGACGAAGCTTGCTTGATGTGGACCAGCTCGAAGTCGCTGGGAAAGTCTGAAGCCGGGTTCTCTCTGGGAACGATGTGCCACTCGAGCTTTTTGTCTCCAGCTCCCCGCAAGGCACTGCTGATGTACAGGCTGCGGGCCTTGGCTGAGAAGTACCCTGTAAACGCTACGATGTACTCTGCAGAGACACAGAGTGGACAGTAGGTTAGAGGACAGGAAAGGAATCAGTGTTCCTGTGCATTCTTTGCAAAGTTTTACAACACATTAAATGTAGTTTTGCCCACTTGTATCATAATTTTGGATAATCATGCAGTTGAAAGATTTTCATTTTATCTTTTAAATGAAAGATTTTATATATATTATATATATATACGTAGATAGGTTGCATTTTTTCACATAAAGCAGTCAATGAAAACCGTTTCCTACCGTGTTCTACCACCTCAGAAGAAAACTCCAGTTTCAGGGTCAACTGGGAGCAGTTTGACCCGGCTGGCGAGAGCAGGGGCTGCAAGTTGGGGGGCTGACAGTCAGATCTGGGTTTTGCCTCCCGTTCTGACTGCATCCCCACCACAGGCAAAAGGCCTGCCAGCGTTCCCAAAAGTGTGGATGCCAGCAACAAGAATAGAACCATTTTGGCTCGTAAAGAAAGTAGCACGAACTGTGTTATCATATCAGAGGCCGAGACGGAGCATTTTCAAGTCCACAGCTCCAAAAATGAGTCCATTTTGCAAATAGCCTGGGCAGCTAGATTAATTTCTTTCTGCGTTTTTTCTCCATGGTGGCGGTCCAGAGCGGCGGCGGCTCAGCGACACGGCCGGAGAACAAACACAGTTGCCATGTTGGGAACTGGAGCAGTCGGAGGAAGAGGAGACGACGGTGGGAAGACGGCAGTAGAAGTGAGAGGGATGGCTGCTGGTGTTTTTCTGGATTCTTTCTTCTTTTTTTTTTTTTTACCTGAAAAGAAAGATAAATGAGTCTAAGAACAAAAGCCTAATAAACACACAAGTTATAGCATGTGACACTTTATAGAAAAATTATATTTCTAGCATGTGAAGAAAGTAGATTTTAGGAAACTGAATCAAGTGTTGATTAGTATCTGAGACAGAAGAAATGAAACTAGAGCTGTACAATTCACTCATCCAGAGATTTGAATTGACCAACATTCACTTGATCCATAGTCCAAAATCTATAAAAAAGAAAATATGTATCAAATAGTAGTAATATCCCACCCCCATACTTATGCAACAAAACTAAGAACTACCAATCCACAAACAGAAAATGTTTGACAAAAGTTAGTAAATTCACAAATTGCTAAGTTTTATTTCTGGAATTTTATGTCAGAATAAAAGCTAATAGGTCTGCTGTAGAACCCACCGCACATCTTTTACCAAATTCAAACTCACAGTTCATAAAAGCTGAAGATCATGATATCATACCTCAAAAAGTAGAAATTAGTATCAGCTAGGAAACGCCTGACCCTGCATCTCAACAACATTACCTCCATCTTTTAAGATGAAGCTCGCCAAGACATTCTTCGAAATCTAATCAAGTGTCGATTGGTTTCAAGGTTGAGTGGATTAAACCTGGAAAGTGATCCAAATTTGACAATCTGTAAACCAATCTCAATATTTGACATCCACCTTCTGAAGAAAACAGCATTACTTTACAGGCTTTGAATACAGTCGGGAGTATTTCTTCCACTGTGCCAACAGGAAGGAAGGGAGGAGTCCCACAATGATCCAGGATTATACCCCTCCTTACTTCATTTTGTCATAAGAAGTTAAATTCGTGCTGCACTCTGGGCACAGCCTTGCTACTGTAGATGCATGAAACATCAAATCTAATTCAGCCTTTAAGCATAACAATTTGGCATGTTGCTCCATAATATCATCCCCTGACCCAACAAACAAACTGAATAGTTAACCTAGACTCAACTTCCTATAAAACAGAAATGACTCAGAAATTTGTTTTTCAGATTTACACTGCACTCTGCACGATATACAACTATGTGATTTCCCGAACACACACCAGTGTCCACATAAAACAAAAGATTTGTGTGAGTAAAGATCATTTCCTTGTGGCCTGAGAGGTTTTTGACAACCCAGTAATGAAAAACATCACCAGAAATGTGAAACACACAGAGTTCTCCATGAGTTGGTTACAGGTCAAACAAGTCATTCTTCTTTCCTGCACAGCCTGTCAAAGCCTCTGCCGACCTTTATGCCTGGAAAGAAAAAGACTTAGCATCAACACTGCTAAGTCCTCTTTTCCTACTTTGTGTTTTTAATGGTCTAAGCCCCCACCTGATCCTCACTCTAAACACTTGTTTTCTGGCTAATCCTTTAAACAAGCAGCATGAAGGCTGCAGAGATTTATCATGTTGAACTGCAACAGCACAGTAAGCGTCACATGTTTAACTTAAATCTGCAGAACCGACTATTGTAAAACGTACAAACAAAACACAGACTCGCATCACAGAACATCTAGCACACCTACTAATACTGCAAGGTTTGTGTCCAACTGGTTGAATGTGTAAAGGAGACACAAAGAAAATCAGATTAAAGCGTTATATATGGTTTCGTTAAGAAATGGACGCGAGACAATTCGGTGAGCAGAACGCCCTCTTGGCATTAATACTATTATTGAGCCATAGATGAAGCGCTGTAGTTCTTATTTTAAACAGTGGGTAGCACTGTAGACGGCATCTTCCTGCATTCAACAACTGGAAGCAGAAAAAGCGTCTGAAGAGGAAGTGCTTTCCTGACGACACAGTTTGGCCTCATAAGTGTAACTAGTCGTTTTTACAAGTCTATCTAGGATTTAGAAAAATATTGCTTCTGTGTTTGCACTGAACCACCATGCATGTTGATTGTAAAAATACAGGTGCTTGCAGATTCTCCCTTGCTGCTGGTAAGAGAGTGCCACTCACGCTGCACACAGTGATACAAAAATGGTGATGTGCCAAAATAAATTTAATAAAAAAGCTAGTAGATGTGGTCTCACTTTAACAGATATCCTTTGGGGAAAGGTGCTGCTACAGGCAGCTAATTTCAGCACCATTGTGCAAAAATATTTAATAGTATGGGTAGATATGATAAAAGATAAGATAAAAGACTAGAATAAGAATGTGTTAATGATTTCCCAAAGCAAATATTGTGATATAATCTCTCAGGCAAATATTTGATATAACTTGCGCAGATTCAGTTGTACCTTTGAACATTTAATTTACCTTGGCAGTTGACTTTTATTTCGCATGTGCGCTCTGCATCCGATTGGTGACGTTAATCAAGACACCATGCGCATAAAATCCCACATTATTATCAAGAGCCTAATGGCTTCAGTTCAACTGACCTTCAGTCTTCCTTCCTCTGCTTAGTCTTAATAACAGAGTTTACATAAATCTTCAGGAATTCCTTTTAATAAGATGATAAGGGTGTATGTGATGTAATTAGAAGCCCCTGGCTGCTATTTGCCTAAAAGGAGGAGGATCAATCAGGACTTCCGTCACAGCAGGATCCCTCGGGAGAGTCAACAATAGGACTGGGAGTTGAAACTCAGTGCTGTAAAAACAGTCGAGGTCTGGTTAGGGCTCAGCAGTAAAACACAGGTTGGGACCACTTGCGTCAACACCAAACCACATAAAACAGGCTGAAACAATAATTAGAAAGTAGACAAAACTTAAAAAACAAGAAGAAAAAAAAGGGCAATCTGAAATACTTGCTGTAAGCCAATGATAACACTGGTAAAACATAAATGAAACAATGGAGGATGTTGAGTCAGATGTTTTGCTTTTCGGCAAAAACGTGTTAAAAAAAAAATCACTTTTGTGTAATAAATGGCAATCCAACACATCTACAGTCAGAAAAGTGCTTGTATAAGTTAATGAGCTGCTGGAGAATGATTTGTTGACGGATGAGAGGTGAACGCTGAAAGCATCTCCCTCAAGCAGGTAATTAAACAAAGTATGATCAAAGACGTTACCATTCCCAGTTAGCTTGCTCAGAAATATGGAAGAGCATCAGTAAACAAAATGTTCAGATTGTAAGGAGACATATGGGTGGACTATGGAAGAAATCAAAGTATCAGGACATAAGACTCAAAGCAACATAGCAATGTTTGTGAGCAGACCGAACTAGAATCCTTTATTTTCAGTTTTAGATTCCATTAAAACTTTAATAGGCTGGATAAAAGAGAGATTCATTGATACATCTCATTCTGGACATATGGCAGTCAATATCTCACCATAACATGCAAAGGTGGATATTTCTCATATATTTATTTTCTAATGTTTGTGTCCTATTTTCTTTCTGAGCTGAATAAATGTCCTGGAACTCAACTGCAGTTGCTCTTTATATGTTCAACTAATAACGAATAATTAGCTTTGCACCAAATGTACGAACCACATGTCACTATATATACTAATATAAGAGCAAACCAAAATGGGGGTAAAGAGAACCCAGTTTAAATCCTTCTATTGTTAAATATAAGCTTTCTCTGAAATGCTACAAGACCACAACAGCTTGTGTTTCAACACCCTAACCAGGATAAACAGGGCAACTATTATAACACGTAGAAAACAATAAACATGCCAGAGAAGAACAAAGCCATAGCTAGTAAATGTGAAAAAAAAAAAGCTTCACGTCGTCACTAGTGTTTGGCTTTGTAAACAGATTTTTTTTTCTGAGCGAGTTTATCACATGTACATTGTTAGCTCGTTAGCTTAGCGGTGTTTAGCAGCAGCTGTTAGCGGTTTGTGTGCTCTTCATACTCACCGACCTCACCAAACAAGGTTAGCTTTACATTTGTGTATGCGTTTATTTCGTTTAATGTCCGTGTAATGCGTGGTTGATGCCTGCTTGATGCCTGGTTCAACGTCCGCTGAACAAAAGCTGCACAGAAGCTGGACGATTCAGCTGCAGAGTGCCTAGTTTGTGAGGGGCGCCATGTATGGCTAAATAGTTCGCCCAAATCTGGAGATGAGGTGAGCTTCTATTTACGACGTTAACGACTGGGTTCTCGCATTTTTAAGTTTGTTTGTTTTATCATTTCTAATAACAGCCTAATTCTACACACCGGTATTTCCGTATCTTTCTTTTTCTTTTAAATGTTTGATCACATTGTGTTTTGGGGTTTATGTCAAACCTGGCAACTCACTGGGCCTCCATCTGCTTCCTTCCAGTCCCTCTGGCGTTCAATCGATCTGCGTTTCTGCCAGAAGAGGGCGCCGTTCAACATCAAAATACAGTGGAGAATTCTTTTCAATTTGCTTTACATTTCTCTGTTTGCTCTCTTAATCTAATTTAGTTTGGGACTCAAAAAATATTCTGATAATATTGTGATAAATGGATGAATGAATGAATGAATGAATGAATGAATGAATATACTTTACTAATCACCAGTTAGGAAATTGACAAATTTTCCTTTCTGTACAATGACAGCATTGACCTTAGTACTAATGCAGTTAATTTCTGAATAGTGTCTTTTTAAGTTATAGATTTGCTTGTTGCATAGCACTGCTTCTTATTTTTAATAGCATTTCATTACCTGCATAGTTTTATGTTTATATAGCTTGACTGTCTAGCTTTGAATAGTATTTTATTATGTACATAATTAACTTCATGTAGTATTTATTAAATGTGTTAACTGAGTCCTTTTTTTAAAGGACTCAGTGATGATGACACAATTATAATTGCTCAACAGACAAACACTGTTAAATTGTTTCTTAAATTTAATATCTTTTATATTCTATTCTTCATTATTTTAATACATTGACTGAAAATGTTAAAAGATCATATAGTCAATCTGGTTAAATTGGGGGGAAATAGCATATAATCTGTTTTGTAGATTCAACAATTTTTGACTTTTTAGAGGAGTTTTTCCAGGTTTTTTTTGGAAGTAAGCAAATATATCACATTCACGTGAAGAGTCAATATTTAGGTTCCCAGTGGGGTTGAGATCTGTTGCGTTTCCCAACCACAACTCCAAAAGGTTAATATTCTGACCTTTTAGTCCTTTTGTTTGGCTTCAAACATATGTTCAGCAGGAGGACATTTTATCAGATAAAATAACTCCGTATTTGTCTTCTGCTGCTCATCCTGCAGAATTTCAGTCCATCCCTAAAGCATTTTTGGACCAAAGTTTTTCAGTTAATAAATGTTAATCTGCATCTGTTTACTCTTCACTGTAATCCAAGTTCACAATGTGAACTCTCAAACTGAAAGATCTCTGTTGCAAAAAAAAAAAAAAAAATACAGCCCAGTTTTCACTTTAAAATTTGCTTTCCGGGATGATCCCTTCACTGGATGAGTTCAGTTTTAAAAACATTAATGAGCACTAGCTTTTATTTTTTTAACTGTCAAAGGTAAGTCATTTTAAAACTGAAATAAATTAGTATGAAAAGAAATCTAAGTAAAAGATACAGTGGACGAGTGCTATAGGTGGACGCAGGTGCATGCACTCAGTAGACTGACACATTTTTGGAAATATTAGTCATACAAGACTTTTTTTTTTATATTTAAAACCACATTTAAAAATCACAAAATGAAACAAAAGTTGTGTTTGAGTGCTCTGCAGGCATCAACAACTCTTTTTTTTCCATCTAGAAAGTAAAAGGTAGATGAATCAAAGAGTTAATCGTTATGATAGACAAGAAACCCCAAAAGAAAATAGCAATTTTCAGCTAACAGTGTTGAAATGAAAAGTTCACTTTGAAGAAGCATTTACACAAAATCACAGAAACATAGAAATGTAAAAACTGTGCACTTTCTGGAAAAATGAACTAATTTCAGCATTTCTTTGAACTTTATTTGTGACTTAACTACAAAAATTATATCATCTTAAAAGTGGATGACCTCATTTACATAAAATGTTATTTAAAATCACCACAGCTGCTTTTTATAGCAATGTTTTTCTTTCTTTTTTTCGAAAAAAAGTAAGGAAACTTATAATGTTGCTTGTGACAGAAAAAAATACATATTCTGGGTTCAGAAAAAAAAATGTGACCGATAGTTCTATGCAGGAATTTACCTTACAGGTCCCATCTTTAGCAATAACCAAGAGGACTAGATTAAAACAACACGAAGAAAAGAAGATCAAAAACCTGAGGTCAGCTGATGTAGCTCGATAACTGAACACATGGGAATATTACAGCCTCACACCTGATGTAATCTGTAAACCAGGTGGAAGGAATGGCTATATATGAACTTCTTCTAGTTTGTTTTTTTTACTCGTCTTTAACCTGAATTCAAAATAAAGTTGATGGTTTGTGTTTGGCATTAACACTTTTTCAAATTGACCAATGTTCCCACTTATTGTGTGTGAAGATGGTGAATAAAAATAGAAATGATTCAGGCTGTAATAGTCAGAATTAGAGTGCAGAGTTTATCTTTAGAGCCAATAACGCTTACAATATATCAGCTCTAGTCTGAGTGTGTCTGGGAATAAGATCATTCAAAGAAGAAATTATCTTTTCAAGTCAAAAAAACAATGAGGTATTTTTGGGTGGGTGGTTGTACAGAAATTAAGGCAAGTTTTCACATTTCCTGTTAATCTTCAGAACATTTCTGATATCTATATCCAGACTTTCTTTATTTCAAGATAATAAGGCCCTGAGAGCCTTTGGACATAATGGCCTAGTTCTCTCAAGATAACATAGTGAACATGATTATCTGCAAGAACTATTTTCATTCTAAATTTGGCAAAATCCCCATGTTTGTATTGACATAATGTATTTACTTAGAGATAACAAGACCTTGAGTGTTTAGCTGCTAATAAGCTTTTCTACTGAGATCAGATAATTATTTGTATAATAATAATAATCTCATCTAGAAATATTTTGTTTTTTGTTGTGATAATGCTTTATCTTTAGACACTAGCTGCTGGAACTTTTTCTATCTGAAAACATCAGAATCTCAAGCTCCATTTGCAGTAACAATCTGTTATCTTCATGAGATATTGACCTTGTTTTTGTAACCAGGATAATTTTTCCATATTAGATTCAGTTTTTTTATTTTATTTTCTATTTTGTTAAATTTAGTTTTGTTTTATTTGAAGATTTAATTAAAAATAAAAATCCTCCTTTCCTTAATTTATTCAATACTATGGAGCCGCGCCCATAGTATTGAATAAAAAATTCCCCATGTCCCTTGGAGGAAGAATGACTGCTATCATTAACGATACAGGGAAGAAGCTTTTTAGTTATCTTACTTTGCTAGCAAAGGCGTTAGCTAGCAGCTAGCTAATAGCACAACAACAATAGCCTAATGTCTGCATGATAAAAATACTGAATCAATAGATAAGAACAGTTTTTCCTCACCTGGTTGTCTCCTTCCGCTCACTAGTTCTTCAGAGAAAGGCAGACGCAGAGGCCTGTCAGTGTTTGTTGTATTTCATTACCTCTCTGCTTAAACTGCTACTCCGTGCTGAAGCAGAAACGATACGTTCAAATGTCCCAGTTCAACGAATCTATATCTAGGGATGTGAGAATCCTTGTTAAATGACGTTTAACTAAAGTCTTAGACTTTAAACTTAGAGTCCCAGTTGACAGCGTTCCAACTAAAAACCTAGGGGTTGGAGTCCTTGTCAAACGGTGTTTTTGACTAAAGTCCCAGAGGGTTAGAGCCCCAGTTAAACGACAGTTAAACTACATTTAACTGCAGTCCTAAAAGGGGTGCGGGTTTTAATGTTTTTATCTTTTTTAATCTTTTTCAAAATCTCTTTCTCTTTCTCACTGTTCAATGTCACATGCTGTTTTTATTTTAATTATGTGAAGCACTTTGAAATGCCTTGCTGCTGAAATTTGCTATACAAATAAAATTTGGCTGATTGATTCGCCAAAAAAGTTTTTTTTTTTTTAATTCACCAAAAACAGTTCTGTAATCTGGAACGTTCGCTTCGTTGAGCTCCAGTTAGCTGCCTTATCTCACTGCGCGAGAGGCAACTACGTCATGCGTCACGGGCAAAAGGTCAAAGGTAACAAGGTGACCGGAGGTCTTATTATGTTGTACAAAAAATAATAATAATAAAATAATAATAATTTTAGTATATGTTATTATATGTCAGAAGAGCGCTTAGGAAATAATAATACAAAAAAA